CAAATTTAAAGAAGCTGGAGATGTTTAGACTTGAGAAAAGATGACGGAGGAGAGAGAGTGATAGCACACTTCATGCACCACTTGTGACAGAGAATGAGATCAAGTCCTCTCTCACTGCAGAGTGACTTCCTTATAATAACCTGAAATGGTTTAACCTGCAATCCTTTTCTAGTTCATCATTCTTATGTTTTTGGCACCCTCTGGCCTAATTGGCTTAACATGATATGTAATGTTGACAATTTTATCTTTGATCAGGAGACTGGACTAGATAGACTTTGATCTCACTAATTGTACTCGTGAAACTCAATCTAAATTGTTTTGCCCACTTGTCACAGATGTGACTGTGCAACTTTGCTATTGCTGGTGGAGTGCCTTTTCATTTGCAGAAAATGGATTCCTATACCTCTCAGGAAGTATTGTTACAAAGATCAAATCGATTCTGTGCAATTCAGACGGTTTTCACTGAGCTTGATTGAAAGGACTTTGTCTCCACTTTGAACACCAGATTAAGACAGGAAAACAAGTTGCATCCTGAACGAAGGAGGTTTTCTGCCTCCCATCTCAACAAATATCACAGTATCATTTTATTTATTTATTTTATTTATATCCCACCTTTATTATTTTTAATAAACAACTTAGGGTGGTAAATATATCTAATATTTTTCTTCCCCCTATTTTCCTTACAACAACCCTGTGAGGTGAGTTGGCCTGAAAGTATAACTGGCCTATGGTCACCCAGCTGGCTCATATGCCTGTCCATACCATGCTTATTGTCTAAATGCATGCACAATAACCAAGTTTAGATTATCATGTAAACCAAACTGAAAGTTCTTCTGTGGATTTGGTATACTAGCCATTTCCTTCACTAAACAGAACTATTACATCTTCAATACATTTTTCCAGCAATATACACAATTAGTTGTTCAGACCCATTAGTCTCAGACAGGATATAATGAACAAAGTTGGATGGCTTCAGCACAGCTGCTTTTATTTTACTCCAATTTATTGCAGAGGAAACTTTGCTCCATTATCTGACCTTAATTTTTACTTCAGTTAATGGCATTAAGGCCACTTCCCAAAACCCAGGAATTTCTAGGGAGGTCTGCTTGAAATTAGATCTGTACCACCTTTTCTTTCTCCATTTCACTTTTCCCCAAGCCTGGGTTTTGTGTTTTTGTTTGTATGGTCCACTATCCCTTTCTCAATATAGCTACTGGATCTAATTTATGGGATCAAAAATATGGGATATTTATACAATCTGTTTGTGTGAACCAGTTGCTAAATTCTCAGACAGATTAGACCTAAGCCTAAACCTCGTACTTTCCAGTTTGCTTCATCAAGGTAACATTTTGGTTATCCAGGCAGAGAAGGAAGGCTGGCATGTGAGCTGATAAGACTTTGCACCATGTAGAAGGCTGATCTGTAAAATAATTGCTGTTTGCATCAAACAACATTCTTCTGCATTATCTGAGATATTCTCCTCCTTTTAGTACAATTGACCACTAATGACAAGCTATGTATCCATCAACTCCCATGATTTATTATAAAAACATGTGCTGCATCTATACATGCATACACACTTTTCAGATAAAACCTTCACCACACAGCAACACCAAAAACCACAGCAACAGAAGTTCTGATAGGATATGGATGGGAAGATCATTTTCCAGCAATTTCCAGAAAGCAAATGCTCTCCCTCACCCCTGGACCAAATTTTTCCTAAATCTACACATAAATATCATACAAATAGGACTAAATTAAGATTACCATTTGTAGAAAAGTATAGCATACTTAACTAAAGTATAGTATACTTAACTAAAAACATTCACTGCCTTAATCCAACTTGGGCTCCTGAGAAAAAATACTGACTGTAACATCTAGATTATTTTGATCTCAGTGATAAGCACCTTGGCTGCAAAGCACCTTGACATACAGACTCACTATACAGAATATTACGTTTTGCTTTTTCTTTATTTCAGTCCATGGAATGGGCTCTTTCAAATAATTTTTCTACACTAGATGTTCAAATATTCTCTTATTCCATTGATACAGTATAACACCTACAAAATTAATACATATTTTACATATTTCAAGAGCAAATATCTCACAAATTCTCTGCCAGTCACCCTAAAACCATAAAACATGTAATAGTAGCAATAAGTAACAAATCAGCCTGGGGCCAATAATGCCATTCTCATTATAGCCAGACTTATTCTCATTATATAGATGCTGTGTCTGTTTCTGGGAAAATAATCTGTATTCCCATATTTCTGAAATTTAGGAAGAAAAGTACCAAAAGAATTCCATAGTGTCTACAAGAGTCTGGTATATGATACTATGAACAATGGACTTACATTATCCTAAGTTACCATAGTTCATTATGAACATAACTATGATATTATTTGGAAAATGCTCGCTTCAGAGGGCAATAATTTTGCATAGCGTCTAAGGCAGGGATTCCCGGCCCACGGCCCACTAGTGGGCCTTGAGCCTTTTGGAACTGGGTTGCAGAAGTGGCAGGCAAACACGTGTGTGCTCGCATCCCCACTTGCACGAGCATCAGGCAAGCGTGTGCACACACATTCCATTTGCATGTGCACTTGCCCTGCAGCTCACTCAAATGGAGCTGCACACACATGCATGCTTGCCTGCCACTCAGGCGGAACCATCCCCTCTCCCCCCACCGCCAGGCCACAAAGCTGGAAAGGTTGGGGAACTCTAGTTTAAGGCATTCAAAAATATGAAACAGCATTCTGGCATATGTGCTGGTGATAGTTTAGATCAGGGCTTTTCAACCAGTGGTATGGGTGCCACCTGTGGTACATTGGCACCTGGCAGGTGGTACACAACCATCCTAGAAAAGTGGTAGCAGGGGAGGGGAATGAACTGAACCAGTGGCAGCACCGCACAAGCCTGAGCGAGAGATGGCTGGAGCTGCAGGGCTGTCAGGGCTCAGCAGAAGCGCCAGGATCAGTGCCGCTTTCCAGCGGATCGGCGCTTCTTTGGGACTATCAGGGCTCAGTGGAAATGCCAGGATCAGCACCAGGCTCCAGCTGGAGCTCGGCGCTGATCCTGGTGCTTCTGCTGAGCCCTGAAGAAGCACCAATCAGCTGGAATGTTGCAGCATCTCCAGGGTCTTGTGATTTACATTCAGATGCTTGGCAACTGATTCATATTTATGACGGTCACAGTGTCCCAGGGTCATGTGAAGTGACCAAAATCTGCTGCAACCACCCAGCAGACGGGGGAATAAAAACCAAACACACCCCCACCCCACCCCTGCTGCCAATCCTCAACAGAAATGCTCACAACAATGAAAACCTCGGACAGGAGGAAGAGCGCCGCCGGCTGTGGCTTGGGGGGCACTTTTTTCAGTGCCATTGTAACTTCGACTACCTGTACTTTATCACTTTTTTCCTTTTTTGGGAGGGGTCATCAAGTTTTTGACACCTTGCTAGGCAACTGGTGCTTCTCAGATGTTGCCATATCCTAAAAGTGGCACAATGGGTGAAAAGGTTGAAAAGCCCTGGTTTAGATGAGATTTGAGAATACCTTCCATTTACCTGATTTTACTATGCTTTATTTTCTGTCAACCAAAAGAAAATCATCAACAAAACCGTTGCAAGTAACAAGCAAACATTGCTTGAATAAAAGGATTTTTTTTTCTTTGTATAAGACCTGTTGATAACTACTGGGCATCCAGTGAATTTATGATTTAGGGGAGATATTTTCACTATTATCAGGAAACATACGTGGAATCCTAGAAGGACATGATTCATTAAAAATGTGCAAGGCAACGCCTTCTTACTGCTCATCATTCTGAAAATACCTGCAAATAATGCTAGCAGCCAAATCCCTAGAATTAAATGACTGTTGTTAGTTTTCAGTATTCAATTCATAATTGGCACGAAAGCCATTTTGGTAGGCAGAAGAAACACCAAGCATTAGTAATCTCAACTATTTTTCAAGGGAGCTACCTATGAATTCAATCTCACCTAATAGGACTGCTACAGCAAAATCCCTATAGCCAGGATTTCTAACTACATAGTCCAATCAAACTTCCTTCAGTAACAATAATCCCTTCAGGCTTAGTAAATGCTGCACATGAGAGTTTTCTCCAAAATATCATGTGTTATCACTGGGCAGTGAAACTTGATTGCTCAGATAATAAACAAGACAAAGAGTAGAAATTACGTCTTTCCATCTGCTGTTTTCTGAAGCCCACTGGCTCAGCACTGATTCTACATTCAGTCAGTTCCCTACAAGCTGTTCCTTACAACAGCAGATACAGCAAGCAGATAAATATGACCCACCAGCTGGCCTATAAAGCATTAATTACTCAGAAAGCCTAGTGGACTTCCAGTGTGAATTTTCTTCAGAATACCATCCATATGAAGTACTCCAAAGGGATTGCTGTATTTGTTAGAATAGGTTGTTTTAAACTTCACGTCAAGTCTCTTTGCTCTATATTCAGAATAAACAGTGTAAGGGAGGTGATATCTGAATAACAATGCTAGCAATAGTCCCAGCTAGCAATACTAAAGAAGAAGGATGCTGAAAGTTATTATTCAGCTTAATGACTGCTGATTATCTACCCCAGTATTTTTCAACTTTGGCCATTTTAAGGCATGTAGACCTCAACTCCCAGAATTTCTGGAATTGGTCCACATGTCTTAAAGATGCCAAGGTTGAGAAATACTGATCTACACCTATGGTTTAGGTTCTGCTGAACTACAGGAGTATGTAATCTGTGGTCACCTGCTGAATTTCTTTGGCTTTACATAATTAAAAGAGTACCTCTTCCTTTGATGATGCAAAAGAGCTTCATTTTCAGATTAAACTCTGAAGAGCAAAATGAGGATAAATGTCTGAGTTCTCTCTTGTCTGAAGGTCCTATCAATGTTAGGTTCCCTTTTGTCCTGTACCCAACCTTCTTGTCATGATCATCCTTTTATAAACATTGAAAAAGGAAAAAGAAAAAGAGAGGAAAAAATACCTACTGTTGCCAGGTAACTGCATCTACTATGTTCCCTGCCACCTTCATGAACCTGTGAAATACAGAAAGCAGGTAAGAGAAAGGCATGCATATGTATACATGTACATGCATGCATATACACATCCTACATAAGCACCTGTCCCTCTATCTTTGAATAAGTCCAAGAATGAGATAGTTCTTCTATCAATTACACTTTTTGAGAGCCATGCTTCAAAGTAAATGAGCCAAATGCAGATGGTACAAATATTCATGCTTACTCTAGTTCTGAATGCACTTTTTTGATGAAAGAAGAATCTAATCTAAATAAATTTAAGCCAGTAATCCTGTCCCAATTAGTGCTATAGTATTTAAAGATCTGAACCTCTTAAAACAGTTTTCTGAACATGACTTCTTTTGAATATTTTGGAATTGCAACTCCTCAAATTTCTATCAAATATGGTTTAAACAAGCACTATTTTTAGAGAAAGGCAAGAGAGACAGTACTCTAGAACCCCCGGTCCATGGACCAGTACCGGGCCGCACATGCCAGCAACCGGGCCGCACAAACAACCAAAGCCCCATCCCTGGGATGCAGGCAGCACACAAAACCACACACTCTCCGGTCCGTGGAAAAATCTCTCTCCACGGAACCGGTCTCTGGTGCCCAATAGGCTGGGGACCTCTGCTCTAGAAGTTGGTTGGGAAATGTGTATCAGATTATGAAGTGGGCAAAAGCAATACGATGTGTAATACTTAAGTGTACACAAGTGTGTAACACCATGACTAATATAGTACAAAATATGTATTTTAATTTGATTTCACAACTAGAACTGGCTTAGCTTTTTCTCTTGCTGATCACAAAACTATAACATCTAATTTTGGAAGGGGAAAGATACAGTTTCAGAAGAAAAGATTTCCAATTCTTTCCTCAGTGCTGCTGCGCGGATTAAACTGGCAGACCCTCCCAATTGCGTTTCATTTAAAAATTGTTAGGAAATCTGCAAAGATTCCAGACAAGCCATTTATTACGCAATCATAACATGTAGTTCATGGAATTTTATAGCGAGATCCAGATGTTATTGTCTTCTGTTTATAATCCACCAGTGTTTTTTCACTATAAAGAACCCCTTAAGAAAGAAAAGATGGAGCAATTGCACAACTGATGGATAGAATTACAAATAAGTCTGGAAGCACAGCTAATCATGGGGAATTCTTTCAATTAGTTTAGTCATGTAATACAATCTCAGTAACTGTAAGTACTGAGAGTGACAACGTAAGAAACATGCCATAGCGAGTCGCACTCATACTGTGAGTCACTATGTTCCAGTTCCAATGGTGATTTGAACATGACTTGCTAGCTACACACACATTTATTCATTCCAAATGTAATATAAAATTATTATCCTGAATTGGCAATAGCATTGTATTGATAAATTTATTCAGCACAAAAATATTAAGAGTACCAATCCTGCCTTATTTATAGTTTCAGCTTTGCTAATAGATTATTTAGATAGTAGATAATTTACTTTTGTAGGATGCCAGTCATTTAACCTATTACTACTGCTTTAAATTCTATTTCATATTGATGATACTGTGCTGTATGCTATTAACGAATCTCTTCCTGCAGTTTCATCTAGATTTTAAACAAGAATGGGTAGAGCACTGATCCCTGCACAGTAAGGGGAGAAGATTTCATATCTCCCCTCCTCCATCAACACTGACTGGAACCATACCCAATGTGAAGCTATTCAAGCAGAATATTAAGAGAAATTTCATTTGTCTTTTTTCTGATGGCAATGGATCTAGGAGGGAATTTATGAAAGGTGGATTGAGGAGATTGCAATGGTTGTGTGAATGTTTGGTAGTTTCAAGTGTTGGGACAAAAAAGGTGTTTCCCAGTCTTCAACCAACAGTTTCTGCTGGTCTTATTTTTGAGGTCTCTGAATGAGTGATTGGATGATAGGGGTTTTCTCAAATATCTTGCACAGGGGAATGGCTGGAATTGTCTTGGTCCTGGTGTTGGACATTGGAGTGGTGGTCAGATCAACAAAAAGAGGTAACAGAAGCAGCAGTGAAGGTGGAGGTGGGCGCAAAGCAGTAGTAGAATTGGAAATTCCATTCAGCTGTTAGCAAGTGCCACCACTTAGCTGTTTTGCAGCATGTCCGTCATAGTAGAACTGTAGAAAATATTTCCCTTCTTTACTTTTTTTTCCAGTATCTAATTAGAGTTCCAGGAGTTTCCACATATTTTCCTGTGCTCATTGGAATTTATTAGACCATATTATTATCATTGGATCATATAATACATAGTACCCCTTTCCAAAGAGTGCTTTTACTCTTTGGAAAGTTCCCTAGTAATAATCCATTTATAAAATTGAGAAGATTCTTTAAAAAAATAATAAGCAGTATTTGGAAGGGGAAAGCCATATCAAATAGTCAACTTGAATTAATTGTACCAGCACTGAATCAGGTGATTCATTCATCAGAGTCTTGGTAATGCAAGTTTATAGGAAAAATAGGGAACACCAGTCCAAAAAAGAACACAATCTACCTTGCATATTTTGTATCATTTATTTTCTGGCAAACATACAAAAACAGTGGTATACTCAAACCAATCTGTAAAATTGGGATAACTTATAGGCTAGTTCCACTTGAAATCCTCCCTGATGAGATATAGGTAGTTCTTGACTTACAACTATTTGTTCAGAGACCGTTTGAAGTTAAGGTGGTACTAAACTAAGGAACATATTATTATTATTATTATTATTATTATTATTATTTTTAAACTTATATGCCGCCCTTCTCCCTATAGGACTCAGGGCGGCTCACAGCATATTAAAACACACAAACACCATTCCCCATAAAACCAATTAAAAACCAAATATTTGTCGCTGTATAGTTAATTAAGATTCGAATTAAAATTATCCCTATTTAAAATTCTCCCTAGGCCAGACCCGCTTGTTGA